CTCGGCANNTAGTTTCCCTTTCTCAACAGACGGTGGATACGACCGACAGGGAACTGTAATCCAGCCCGGGATGATCGGGTCTTGCTCTTTCCCTTTACTTTTCCTCCTTTTCCTCGTCCAGACATGATGTGAATTTAGTTAGTGAGACGGTGTCGTCGTGCGAAAGTCTAGTAACTGAATGAAGCGAACGCGACGACTAAAAACACTATTTATACTCGAAAATGGAGTCGAAAACTACGGTGCTCACTATCAAGTCCGCGCTATTTCACGAGAAAAGCTTTCGATCCTATTTTTCGACTCCATTTTCGAGTATAAAAGGAAAATTTCGCGCGTGTTCACTACTACAATCACTTTAACAAGTTTCATCGCAGAAACATTAGAGAACATCTCTCCCCCCTTTTGTGAAAGCTTCCCCCCCCCCTCTTTCCTCCCTCTTTTTCTCACTTTCTTTTTTTTTTCTTTTTTTTTTCAGGTCTTCGAGTTTTCCAACAGATAACAGATAATCTAACCAAACCAAACCAAACCAACGACTACCACTCGACTACCAATCAACAAGAAATACCATGATCAGAACGAGTTTGGAAGAATGAAGGAGACCGAGTAACTCACGCCACACCATCCAGGGCCGAGTTTCACCGCCATGTCATTCGACCCGACCAGATCTAACGAAGAATCAACAACCAAACCAACAACACCGAATCATCCAATTTGATCCAATCCAACTACCAACTACTACGACTACCAACAACTACCTAGTTTGCGATATCAGCATCCGCTGGAAGCGAACGTTAACTTGTCATCTACCAACCAACCGTGTTCACTACTCACTTGACTGTTAGACACCGCACTGTCCACATCACGTTAGTACTCTAAATTCAACATGCCGCCAAAGGTTTCTGCCAAAGGGGCTAAGAAAGCCGGAAAAGCAAAGGCCGCACGTAGCGGAGACAAGAAGAAGAAACGACGACGAAAGGAGTCTTACAGCATCTACATCTACAAAGTGCTGAAACAAGTCCACCCCGACACTGGAGTCAGCAGCAAAGCTATGTCTATCATGAACAGTTTCGTCAACGACATTTTCGAGAGAATCGCTGCCGAAGCTTCAAGACTCGCTCACTACAACAAAAGATCGACCATCACCAGCAGGGAAATCCAAACTGCCGTTCGACTTCTGTTACCCGGTGAGCTCGCCAAGCACGCCGTTTCCGAAGGAACAAAGGCCGTCACCAAATACACCAGCTCCAAATAAGCTGTGTGTCGAACTTTAGT